TAGTGGCTATACCATTTTATATTTCCACCAGCAGTGCACCAGAATTCCAATTTCTGTACATCCTTACCAACACTTCTTGTTTTCTTTTTTCTTTTATTTTTTTTAAATCAATAGGCATTCTGTGTATGAATATAATCAGGACTTTAAAACAAATTAATAAAACACTTAATAAAATATGATCTTCAGGTTAAATTATAAATTAACAGTTGTTAGACTATGTTACAAAGCTTGTTAAGATACTTGTTCAAGGTTGATTTAATACATGGAATAATTAGGTTCAGCTATTTCTATGTCATACTTAGTACCTAAAACAACCTTTTCATGATTTTTGAAGCCAGCAAAAACAAACCTACAAGTATATACTACAAATATGTGTCAGTTGTACTGTGAATAATATACTTTCATACTTTTTCTAAAATGTACCTGAATGTGTTGTGCTATTTGAAATCATTCCAAAAGCTTCTGAGATGGTTCATAACAGAGTGAAATAAATAGTAAGAAAGCTCAAGCTCAAGTGGTCCTCACTTTCATTTATGAATCTTACCTGAGAATAATTTTTTGTTTGTTTGTTTTTTTAGAGACAGGGTCTTGCTCTGTCACCCAGACTGGAGTTCAGTGGTGGGATCATAGATCACGGCAGCCTCCAACTCCTGAGCTGAGTGATCCTCCTGCCTCCAGAGTAGCTATGACCATAGGCACATGCCTGCTAATTTCATCTTTTGGTAGAGACAGGGTCGTACTGCGTTGCCCAGGCTAGTCTTGAACTCCTGCCTCAAGTGGTCCTCCCACCGGGGCTTCCCAAAGTGCTAGGATTATAGGTGTGAGCTGCTGTGTCTGGTCTAGCCTGGGGATAATATTTAACAACAGTTTTTTTTTTTTTTTTTTTTTTTTTTTTTTTTTTTTTTGTTTTTTTTTTTTGAGACAGAGTCTCGCTTTGTTGCCCAGGCTTGAGTGAGTGCCGTGGCGTCAGCCTAGCTCACAGCAACCTCAAACTCCTGGGCTCAAGCAATCCACCCGCCTCGGCCTCCCAGAGTGCTAGGATTACAGGCGTGAGCCACCGCGCCCGGCCTATGGTCAGGTATTGGCTGTGTTCAGTGTAAAGGAGAACTTTAGGTTGTTTAATTCAGGTTCATATGATACCACTTCTGCAAGAACTGGCACTTACATAGGCTCTGCTCCTGAATTTACTTTTTAATTTTTAAGAGGAAGTTGATACAGTGAGAGAAAATATGACAAATGCATTTGTCAGGTTATCTGGACTTCTAGGATTTATTTGTTGACTTCACCCACATTTTAAATGGATCACATTACCTCTTCTGTCTTTCTTTGGCTATGGTGAAATGTGAATAGTATTGTTACCCAACTTTCTTTATGTATGTGTAAGGAATATCAGTGAGTTAATAGTAAGAATCAGAAATCCCTAAAAGAAAGGTGATATATCAAGGTACTGTTAAAATCATGGCAACTTGAGAACTCTAGAATATTTGATGAGTTACAATACTAATGGATAACATAAAACTTGGACTCCCTTCTTGATTCTAGAGTAGAACATAGTGACTTTGGGCAAGGAATAGTACCATGGGCTGATTTTCTCATCAATATAAAATTAAGAGAGGGTATTCTGGGAGGGCTTATAATTCCATCTTTTTCCTCACTTGTCGGAGGGAATAATTTGCCATACTCTAAGTTAATGAAAAGAAAGATACAAGCAGGCCGGGTGCGGTGGTTCACGCCTGTAATCAGCACTAGCACTCTGGGAGGCTGAGGCAGGCGGATTGCTCGAGGTCAGGAGTTCGAAACCAGCCTGAGCAAGAGCGAGACCCTGTCTCTACTAAAAATAGAAAGAAATTAATTGGCCAACTTGGTGTCTCAGCTGTTACCACTTACCTCAGCATCTGGTCAGTTATTTCTGTAGTCACAGAGAGATACGCGGATGTCGCTCGCTAACTACCGACTCAGTGCTGTTGTGGTTTTGGACTAATCTCTTGACCTGTTTTTCTTTGAGACCAAGGATCTCCGCTTGTTTCAGGCTTCCAGCAGTGACCGCCTTGGCCCCCAGAGTGCTAGGATTACAGGCATGAGCCACCGCATCCAGCCTTCTGGTGTGTTCTTAAGAGAAAAAAGCCGTGTTAAATGATGTAGTAATGAATAGTTCATTTAAATATAGACCCTAAAATGCTGTTTTATTCTTGTGTTCTCTCTTTTTCCTAAAGAAGATTAGTGATTTCATTCTCTAATGAGTAAATCAATGTCCTTTTGTATCATCTTATTCTCATTAATACCTCTTTGGAGGAGGATGTGTTAAAACATTCAAGATATATTGTTTGGCTGATCTATGAGTAATTCTGAGAAAGTTCTAGATAGTACTGTGACTATATAGGATCATCATCTTATATATTGTGTCTCTTTTCTTTTTATTATATTATTATTATTTTTTTTTTTTTGAGACAGAGTTTTGCTTTGTTTCCCAGG